GGGTCCATGTCCCCGTCCAAACTAGGACTCCAAGCCCCCGCTCCTAAGTCCTAGACTTAGTACGGTGCAAGGACCTCCACCATCCCCGGCTCCAATCAGTTGGTCCAGAAAGAGCCAGAACCCATGACAAGAGAGCAACAAGTCTTCCCTGCGCCCATACCTAAGTATGTGCTCGGGATAATAGATCTGTGACTTGCCTAGAGCCTTATGCAATGACCGGTCCTTAACCGACACAGACAGGGAAAAAGTGTAACCAAGCTATGCCCTGTTGGCCACTGGACACAACCTCTTACACCCACCAGTACCCAAACCATATCCTTGTCCGGTCACCACTTTTACTTTCCACCATTTTATCATGAGTGATCATAATTATCACCTATGGTGAGTAATGGCAGGTTACTCACGCCACCATTTGGCATCAGAGATTCACCCCGAACCTACCAGACATGGTGGACTGACCGGAGATGGACCGAGCCGAGCTGGCCGTGTGCGCACGGGCGGTGCGGTGGCGCACGGCAGTGGCAAGGCTGTGTCAGGGGAGGCTAGGCGGCGGTAGCGATTCGGCAAAGGTGCGCAGGGTGATTAGTAGGTGGAGACGAAGCTAGTGGTGCAAGGAATTGACATGAGCTGCACGAGATAGGGAGCTTGCCTCCGATGCAGACCGACACAGTCTTATTGACCCGACGGAATGACAGCTCCAAATTAGAACACGGTGCCTCGAGGCTCGCTGTAAGGTGGGGTCGGGTGGGTGGCTGGCTACTCAGCGGAGCCGAGGACAAGATTAATTGGATTGGGGTGGCTCCACTGCGGCGAATTTAGAGAAACGGGTACGGCGACCACGACGCCAGAGAATAGGGAAGATAGGCATGGTGTGGCTCGTCGCTGCCGTGGCAGGACGTGGATGTCACTTCGGTGCTCAATCGCGTACGGCTATAGGCGAGGGGGAAACGGCCAACACGTTCTGGACGGTGGGCTGCACGGCCACAATTTACAAATCGACGACGGTGGCTCGGCTCTGCTCGCCGCAGTGGCGTGGCGCCGGTCAGAGGAACAGCAGCACAGCGTCGTCGAGCGCCGATGTGACGGCAAGGCAGACAAAGCAAGGCGACGTGCGGGCAATGCCAAATTTGGCCACGCTCTCACGGCACCGCACATACGAGCACGAGGCGGCAGGGCAGCAGGCGGACGTGACGGCGTGACAGAGAGCACGCGGTGACTCCGTGCACACAGCCAAGGCCAGTAGCAGCACAGTGGCGTGACACGCGGGGTCAGCGACATGGCGAAGTGGCTACAGCGGCTGGCCAGAGCAGTGGACCCGCAGCGACGACGGTGGTGGCCGAGCGGCCAGTGCACGGCAACGGCGGTGCGGGTCTGCGCGGCTAGGCGTGAGAGTGAGCTCGAGCCAGGGCGTGGCAACAGGTGAAAGTGGCCCGCAACGCGGAGCCAGCGGTAGGCCCGACCAGCGCAGTGGCGCACGTACGGCGTTCGAGCGCGTGCGCGTCGGCGGCCGGAGTGGCAGCGCCGAGGGACGAGCACGGTGACCACACCCAGATGTAGAAACTGTGTCGTGCACGCTTTTTGAAGCGTCCCAAAAACTCACCTCAAGGCTTCGATCGCTAAACCAACTATTTTACGCTCAAGGTGGCATGTCAAGCTACTAAAACAAACCCTAAACCCATGCCACCACTTAACCCAATCCTCCTATAAAAATTCCCAAACTTCGCTTCGTCGATCCATTTTCCGACAAGAAAATGGCTAAGTTTTCGTTCGGATTCGCGTCGAATTCGATTTTCAAGCTATCAAGTATGCTAGCTAGCGAATCCCATTCTCGACCGCAAGTATTTCATCGTCGCCTACGAAGCTAGTACTACTAACTTTATTAAAGTGCCGCATACGCGTTCTATAACATTTCCGTTCAATAAAAATTCATTTAGAACCCTAAGTGATACAATGAGACATGAAATATAACATTCGTTTCGCGTTTCCGATAAACGTTTCGAGCCACTGAAATTGATTTACACTCTATAATTCATACACTATCATATAAACATGATGCATATGCAATGTTTTACCAAAAATTGTACAGTGTAACACCGAGGGTGTTACAACAGGGTATGGCAAATGACGGCGTCCACAATACTGTTTGGGTTCTGACACGCCTGGAAGGTTGCATAGTGCCTATCTGGTATGGCCTGGTGGCACCATCCTGCAGGTGCGCAGGGTACGGTCCTCGGTATTGCGGTTTGACTTGAGCGTCTTACCTTATCTGCTTCGTCTGATCCTCGGGCCCTCACCGAGCGGGCGTCCCCGGTCGGTTGTTCCCAGTCGGCCCCGACCATGTTGGTCCGGGAAGAGTTGCAAGCTGAGGTTCGGCGTATCCCCGGTCAGAAAAGGAGGTCGGAGTCAAACTATGTCTCCTCCTTGGCCAGGCCTTCCGGTCGGAGACTGGATCATTCTCCCAGCCAGTCGTTAGGTAACTGGGCCGGCCCGGGAGGCCCACGTTGTCGCTACGCCGTCTGCTGGGCCGAGTTTTTGCTAGGAAGCGGGCCCATTGAGGACCCCGGGTTTATGAACCCGACAAACACTCTTCATGTTTCCGTAGCAAAACTATCTTCAAACCAATCCATGTACATAATACCTTGAAAGCACATTTCATTTCTCAGTTTCCAAACAGACCAAGAGCTGAAGAGGAAACTATATTTGAAATTTCATGTTTTTTTGTTAGCAACGCATAGCTTCAAAATCTCTCCCTATCTCCATGCATAAAAACTCTGAAACTAAGTTCCAGGTACTGCTGGAAGCACAACACTCAAAGAACAGGTCTAAAATAGATTCATTGACAGCACAAAACATATAGGATGGATCACTAACTTCTCTTCCCTTTGCTAAATTATCTCTGGTCAAGTGTCTGTTGTTAGACCTTATTGGATGCAATCTTATCTACAACAGAAGGCTGCATCTGGCACAATCTGGTTTCTACATGGAACTTTGGCATTGAGAACGTAGGATTATCATCATTCACTCAAAAAACGTATATGCATGTGTACCCCAATTCTTTTGGTAGCTAACCTTGCATCCTTTTCTCCAATATCAGAACCCTGTTCAAAATTTCCCCTTACATCCAAAGTCAACATGCTAATCAACCTACGAGAGCATCAACAGTCTGCAATTTCAGAACACGGTTTATTTTCAAATCTAGATGTGTGAGGCTGTACAATTTGGAATCTCACTCTGAGCAAGGTTTTTTTTCCCCCGAATGTTGGCCAAAAGCACCAAACATGTTCTTGTTTCCGGTGTTGATACACATGAACTTGTATGTACTACTTGATTATCTGGGAAGATTAGCAGTTCTCTGCACTGCTGCATGCAGAACAGAGCCCCAAATGGTTCGGTCCTCAACTTTCTAGGAAGACAGTAAACTTGGAATTTTATAAAGGTTGGCAAACAGTTTGAATGGGCATCTTTTGTCTTCGTTAGCTGGCGCGCCCTTGGGTGATCCCAGCTCGGGCGTTTCATTTTTAAACACGTCACAAATGGAACGCCAGTTCAGCAGTGATTCCTGCAGCACTGATTCGCCGTTGTGTCATTGTGTACCAACAGTGATAGGGCGATGCCATTTTCTGATTCCTGCAGCACTGGCTTGCCATTTCGCCTTTAGTTGCTACTCCCTCTGTCCCACAATAGACGACGTATTAGGTTTGGATACATAAATTAAGGTGAAGGGAAAAGGTGTTGCGCATAGAAAACAACATGGAGAGATAGAAATGTATTAAAAAAAAAGAAAAAAATGTATGTTAGAATAAGAGAAATATGCATGGAGAAATGAAAGTGTCAGGTATTTTTAGACAAAATTTGAATCATATAAAGTCTTGTATTTTGGGAGGGAAGGAATATCTACGAGCCCATGACCATGGCCCACGTACAGCACGCCATGATGCCAATGATTGAGATGAAATTGTTGCATGCGGTGGGATTTGCTTGTCAAGGAAAGCTAGAGAAGATATTTTTTTATTCTCCCGAGGAGGAGAATCCCTGCAAGTGCACAAAAGAAAGACTTGTGGTCGTCGCACTTGCACCCATCTTGTTTTCTCACTGAGAGCCTGGAGCCCGGGAGCAGGAGCAGAGCTGGATCACTGGGATCCTGGGAGCAGGAGCAGAGGTGGGTAGTGTGCTCTGAAGTCTGAAGCGAGTGTTGGTGCTCCCCTCTTCGGCTGCCATTTGGTGATCTATGTAAGGTATGTTCTAGCTTACACCAAACAAAATCTTTGCGTCAGGCCATTTTTTTTTTTGAATTGGCCTTAGACAAGATCTTATGGAGTTCATTCCCAGTCCCATATATGCTTTCTCCATTAGTTTGGCTACAGGGACCAGCTTCAAGAAATGTAGTAGTTGATTTGTTCTATACATTCAACTGATTGCAAGATGTAATCTCAAAAAAAAAAAAAAAAACTGATTGCAAGAAGTTGTTTGACTGGAGCCTCAGATCTAGATTCCCTGTAGCTAATGTGCAAGCTCCGTACATCAGCCAACTAGTCTCTCTTACTCTTTCGATGTTTTTTTTAGTGTAAACAGGAGGGTGGAGGCTGGTTTCAGGTTCTTATTATAAAGTTTGCTCTTTTGCTGGCAAGCATGTAGACAGATGACAGATGCATGGTTATTTTTCTTGCAAGCATGAAATAGTCATGTCGTGCTTGATCTATGGGAAAATTAAGGAACACGCGTTGTAAGTGGAGTGTAGTGCATAATCACTGGTCAACATCATTCGTGAAGAATGTTTGTTTTGGCAAATTTGTTGCCTAGGTTGGTTTGCCTGGTCACGCGAGTTGATGGATCTGCTCCGTAGCATGGCCGTTGCTCTGCGTCTCCGTGATTGCAGGTTCCATGGAAATTAGCTGCTGGGTTCTTTAAGAATTGACACAAGGCACGCCCTGACGCGTCTTCTTTTTTCCAGTGTCGCGGTGGAATGGCACATCAGCTCGTATATTGACTCGGTCGGCATTTCAATCCTCACCGCCGGCAGGGAGAAGAAGCAAGAATCCCCTGGTACGTGCGTCGTTACACAGTTCAATCCTGATATTCTTGGGGCTCCGGTGTCGATGGCCACCGTGCCTCGACTCCGAACGCTCCCGCTCCCGATCCTTGGGCGCACGCGAAAGGCTGCGGGTGAGGCGCGAGTACCAGTTGTCGCCCTGACGTTCACGGCGCCCACGACTGTCGTCGTCATCGCCGCGACGGCTGCCACGGACGTCAGCAGGCGGAGGTTCGTGGCGGTCACGTGGCGTCCTCTCCCCATCAACGACACCGTAGTGCCACGTGTATTCACGGGGAGCAGCAGCACGTCCATCTCTTCCTGGTGGGTCCTCCACTAGGTCAAGGTGCACCAGCACCCTGAAGGTGAGTCCCCGACGGCCGCGAGCAGCTTGTGAACTGTGAAACTCTGCTTTCCTGCATGACAAGGTTAGCCAGGTTACCTTTGGAATGTCGGACGGGTTATGCATCCATGCCCAGACACAGAGTGCCCTGGTGTCTTCTCGGTCCAGCGAAGACTTCTCGACGTAGTCAAGGTCGCAAGCTCTGGCGACTGCCCTCTTGGCGATGCTCTCGTTCCAGGCGTGAAGGTGGATGCCCTCTAGGCACAGATGAACGCGGTACTTGAGGTCGCAGATGTCGCCGTGCGTGACCAGCTGCCACGGCCTTGTGTGGATGTCGAGATTGCGATAGGGGAAGGTCCCCTGGGCCACAACCTCGTCATGGTGGTGCCGGTGCTTGAAGTCGATGAAGAAGTCCTTGGGGAAGTGCTTGACGACGGTGACATCCTCCGGGCGAACCGGAAATTGGTGGCAAATGGCCCTCTTGATGACCTCTGGCTCCACCACCGGATGGTTACCCCCCAGCCAGGCCACCATGCCATGCATGGAAAGGCGGTCGAGCTCGTGGTCCATGTCATCAACGGAGAAGGCCACAGCACAGGTGTCCATAGGGTGGACAGAGGGGTCCCCGGGCCTGGCCATCGCGGACCTTCCCAGAGGGGGTAAGTTGCTGTCGTCGAATGGTGGAGGAGCAGCGTTGGGCAGGGGAGCTTGTTGCCGGGAGGATGAAGGTCTGCCTTTGCACACTCTGCTTTTATGCCCCCAGCGGCCACAAGAGAAGCACCGCACGGGGTCCCTGCAGTCCGCCGCAGCGTGGCCAGGGGATAGACATCTGAAGCATTTACCTCTCATGCGCCTCAACAGTTCATCGCTGTGGTGGAATTGCACCGATTTGACCTCGGTGGTTGAGGGAGTTGAATGCGTCGTGCCTTTGAACTCAGGGAGACGCCACCAGCGCCTCGGGCGCACCATGGACCATCCACCTTCATCTTCTGACGCGAGGTGTGCACGTGAATGCGCCCCATCGGCCTACTGGCTCGCCCTGGTGACTGCCCTGAGCCACCCCCCTCGGGAAGGAAAACCACCATCAATGCGGGGCGCTGCAGCCTGGAGGGGGTGAGATGAATGCTCAACGGATGGAGCACCAGAGGCATGCTTCACTGTTGTGGATCTGAGGCAAGATTTCGTGGACAAAGTGCCGTTGGAGTAGTAACACCTCACAAAATGGTTGCAGAGGGGGGAGGCGAACTTCACGCGCTTACCAGACGTGCTTCCTATCTTGTCCGACGCGCTGGAAGCAGCAGCGGGCGCACCGAGCCGGATTTTTGGCCCCACGACGACTGATTTGGGGACCGGGCGACGGGGAGGTGACGCACGGGGCGTCAGGCGGCGGGAGACGGGCTCGATCTGTGGCTGTGGGCCACCGCTAGCTAGGCGAGTGGGATGAGGAGGACGGCCGTGGGGTGGGGAACGCGCTGTAGCGCACGACGACTGGGGGCCGCGGCCGGCGACGGTGGATCTGGGCTGGGGAGCGGCGTGCGGGGGCGGGGGCGGAGCAAGAGCGGGGAGCGTAACGGTTCCATCCTGAATAGCTGTTGTGCTAGTTGTACGGGTGGATGACTTGCTATGTGCCCAGAATTTTATAAAGGTTGGCAAACAGTTTGAAAGGGCATCTTTTGTCTTCGTTAGCTGGCGCACCCTTGGGTGATCCCAGCTCGGGCGTTTCATTTTTAAACACGTCACAAATGGAACGCCAGTTCAGCACTGATTCGCCGTTTGTGTCATTGTGTACCAACAGTGATAGGGCGATGCCATTTTCTGATTCCTGCAGCACTGGCTTGCCTTTTCGCCTTTAGTTACTACTCCCTCTGTCCCACAAGACGTTTTAGGTTTGGATACATAAATTTTGGTGAAGTGAAAAGGTGTTGCGCATAGAAAACAACAGGAAGAGAGATAGAGATGTATTAAAAAAAAGAAAAAAATATATGTTAGAATAAGGGAAATATGCATTGAGAAATGAAAGTGTCAAGTATTTTAAGACAAAATTTGAATCATATAAAGTCTTGTATTTTGGGAGGGAAGGAATATATACGAGCCCATGACCATGGCCCACGTACAGCACGCCATGATGCCAATGATTGAGATGAAATTGTTGCATGCAGTGGGATTTGCTTGTCAAGGAAAGCTAGAGAAGATATTTTTTTATTCTCCCGAGGAGGAGAATCCCTGCAAGTGCACAAAAGAAAGACTTGTGGTCGTCGCACTTGCACCCATCTTGTTTTCTCACTGAGAGCCTGGAGCCCGGGAGCAGGAGCAGAGCTGCGTCACTGGGATCCTGGGAGCAGGAGCAGAGGTGGGTAGTGAAGTCTGAAGCGAGTGTTGGTGCTCCCCTCTTCGGCTGCCAATTGGTGATCTATGTAAGGTATGTTCTAGCTTACACCAAACAAAATCTTTGCGTCAGGCCATTTTTTTTTTGAATTGGCCTTAGACAAGATCTTATGGAGTTCATTCCCAGTCCCATATATGCTTTCTCCATTAGTTTGGCTACAGGGACCAGCTTCAAGAAATGTAGTAGTTGATTTGTTCTATACATTCAACTGATTGCAAGATGTAATCTCAAAAAAAAAAACTGATTGCAAGATGTTGTCTGCACTGCTTGATTATCTGGGAAGATTAGCAGTTCTCTGCACTGCTGCATGCAGAACAGAGCCCCAAATGGTTCGGTCCTCAACTTTCTAGGAAGACAGTAAACTTGGAATTTTATAAAGGTTGCCAAACAGTTTGAATGGGCATCTTTTGTCTTCGTTAGCTGGCGCACCCTTGGGTGATCCCAGCTCGGGCGTTTCATTTTTAAACACGTCACAAATGGAACGCCAGTTCAGCACTGATTCGCCGTTGTGTCATTGTGTACCAACAGTGATAGGGCGATGCCATTTTCTGATTCCTGGAGCACCGGCTTGCCTTTTCGCCTTTAGTTGCTACCCCCTCTGTCCCACAGTAGACGACGTTTTAGGTTTGGATACATAAATTAAGGTGAAGTGAAAAGGTGTTACGCATAGAAAACAACAAGAAGAGAGATAGAGATGTATTAAAAAAAAGAAAAAAATGTATGTTGGAATAAGAGAAATATGCATTGAGAAATGAAAGTGTCAAGTATTTTAAGACAAAATTTGAATCATATAAAGTCTTTGTATTTTGGGAGGGAAGGAATATATACGAGCCCATGACCATGGCCCACGTACAGCACGCCATGATGCCAATGATTGAGATGAAATTGTTGCATGCAGTGGGATTTGCTTGTCAGGAAAAGCTAGAGAAGATATTTTTTTATTCTCCTGAGGAGGAGAATCCCTGCAACTGCACAAAAGAAAGACTTGTGGTCGTCGCACTTGCACCCATCTTGTTTTCTCACTGAGAGCCTGGAGCCCGGGAGCAGGAGCAGAGCTGCATCACTGTGCTCTGAAGTCTGAAGCGAGTGTTGGTGCTCCCCTCTTCGGCTGCCAATTGGTGATCTATGTAAGGTATGTTCTAGCTTACACCAAACATAATCTTTGCCTCAGGCCATTTTTTTTGAATTGGCCTTAGACATGCTTTCTCCATTAGTTTGGCTACAGGGACCAGCTTCAAGAAATGTAGTAGTTGATTTGTTCTATACATTCAACTGATTGCAAGATGTAATCTCAAAAAAAAAAAAAACTGATTGCAAGATGTTGTTTGACTGGAGCCTCAGATCTAGATTCCCTGTAGCTATTTGTGCAAGCTCCGTACATCAGCCAACTAAGTCTCTCTTACTCTTTCGTTGTTTTTTTTTAGTGTAAACCGGAGCGTGGAGGCTGGTTTCAAGTTCTTATTATAAAGTTTGCTCTTTTGCTGGCAAGCATGTAGACAGATGACAGATGCATGGTTATTTTTCTTGCAAGCATGAAATAGTCATGTCGTGCTTGATCTATGGGCAAATTAAGGAACACGCGTTCTAAGTGGAGTGTAGTGCATAATCACTGGTCAACATCATTCGTGAAGAATGTTTGTTTTGGCAAATTTGTTGCCTAGGTTGGTTTTCCTGTTCACGCGAGTTGATGGATCTGCTCCATACCATGGCCGTTGCTCTGCGTCTCCGCGATTGCAGCTTCCATGGAAATTATCTGCTGGGTTCTTTAAGAATTGAAACAAGGCACGCCCTGACGCGTCTTCTTTTTTCCAGTGTCGCGGTGGAATGGCGCATCAGCTCGTATATTGACTTGGTCGGCATTTCAATCCTCACCGCCGGCAGGGAGAAGAAGCAAGAATCCCCTGGTACGTGCGTCGTTCCACAGTTCAATCCTGATATTCTTGTTTTGTTCCAGAGAGCCTAACCTTAACTAAACATTGCTTCGTAGCTTGGCTGTTTGGTGTCTCTGCAATCAATTCAGTCCCCTTCCCTGTGAAGCATGTGACGCAAGAGGAGCACATCACGAGTATGATGCCAGCTCGTAATCTCCAGCTGCAAAGTATGCCTGCGCCCTGAACACTGCGTCTGCATGTTGCTCTACTAATCTAAACCTGACGACATGACACCACCAGTAGTTTCATACTACTGCTAGTTCTCTGCTACAATCTGCTGAAAATAGGCCTCAGATTCTTCTTCGGTAAATCAAGGTACTAGTTGTATTTAATCTTCCATTTATACTCTGTTTTCTTTCTAACTATCCAAGCATGAAACCTTGTTTTGCATGTATGAGTTCCACAAAACAAAATACAAATCTGTGTAAGTGTAACAACCTGATGGATGTTTTTCTTTTGCTTTGCAGTGGCTAGATTGCCGGGCACCCGATATGGCTGAGGTTATTTTATCACACTTAGCAATCTCTGTTCTCCAGAAGGTCGCATCCTTGGGCACCGAATGGGCTGTTAATGAGATCAAGTCAGCCTGGAACGTCAAAAAAGAAATATGGAAGATGGAAAGATCACTGAGATCAATTTGTGCTGTTCTTCAAGATGCCTAGAGCAAGCAGTCTAGTTCGCAAGACCTCCAAGAGTGGCTGGATAACTTAAGGACGCAGTATACAACATAGATGTGATAGATAAGCCCAGTGTATCTTACTTTTTCTACACTTTTTACTTTCCTTTCTTTCGAACCTAGTGTTAGGAATATGTCAGCAACCACTTTAGTGGTTCGAATATGCTGTAGCAAATGTGAGTCCCCTTTGCCTACAAAGGGCAAGGGAGTGTCATTGTAAAAATATGACATTGCATTTTCCATTCAATCCAAGCGGCCAAGGGCCAAGCTGCACTCTGGTAGTTCCAGATCTGAATCTGAGATCTAATCGGGCCAACAATCTAGTATCGGAGCCGAGAGGGTTCTTGAGTGAGGTAACGCCATGTCCACCGCCAGCCAGGTCGCGAGAGAGCGCGCTGCCGTAGGTGCCAGAGCTGACGATTGCGCAACACGCCTTGCTGCCGCAGAGGCAGCGGCGGCGGCCGAGACGGCCAGGCAGGCGGCGGCTACGGCCCAGGCCGAGGTAGCCGCGGCCGCAGCACTGCGCGCCGAGATGGAGCGGGAGCTGGAGCCAGCTGGAGGATCGCGTAGCCCGGTCGAGCGCCGCCGCCAGTCGCCGTCACCAGAGCGGCGTCGTGGTCGGTGCGGTCGCTCCCCGGTGATGCAGACGGTCTACCGCGACTCCAGAGCGGGAACGCCCTGGCCGATGCTCACCAAGTCGAACTACCATGAGTGGAGCCTGCTGATGAAGGTCAAGCTGCAGGCCCGGCGGCTGTGGGAGGCGGTTCACGTCGGCGGAGTCGACTACGACGACGATTGCCGGGCACTGGAGGCGTTGTGTGCCGCCATCCCCACCGAGCTCGGCGCCTCCCTCGCCAACAAGGCTACGACAAAGCTGGCGTGGGAATCGATCGCCGCGGCACGGAGGAGTGCGCGGTGGAGAAATTCCTCCGCTGCATGCCGAGGAACTACGCGCAGATCGTCATGTCGATCGAGA